GGAGTTCTGACCTGCAGAACTGAGAGCTAATCAATGTTTTCTTAATGGCTTTATTGAGCTAATAAATGGGTGTGTATCAGCTTTATGGATACATACTTACTATAAAATTCACCATTTTAAAGTGTACAATTCAGTGGTTTTCAGCATATACACAGAGATGTGCAACCATCACCACTATCTAGGTGCAGAATATTTTTGATACCCCAAAAAGAAATTCTATACCCTTTAGAAGTCACTCTCCATTCTCCCCACCCTCAGTCCCTGGAAACCACTAATCTACTTTCCATTTCGATGGATTTTCCCATTCTGGATATTTCATATAAATGGATTCATATAATAAGTGGGCTTTTGTATTTGGCTGCTTGCACCTGGCATGATGTTTTCAAGGTTCATCCATGTTGTAGCACGTGTATTTCATTTCTTTTATGGCTGAAAAATATTTCATCGTATGACTACTTCACATTTTGCTTATCTGCTCATCAGTTAATGGACATTTAGATTTTTTTCACTTTTCAGCTATTATGAATAATACTCCTATTAATATTTGTGTACAAGTTTCCTGTGGACATGGGTTTTCGTTCTCTTGTATATGTATCTAAAATGGAATTGCTGGTAACTCTATGTTTAACATTTTGAGGAACTGCCAAACTGTTTTCCAAAGTGGCTGTGACATTTTACAATCCCACCAGCAATGTCCGAGGGTTCCAATTTGCCCACATCCTCGCAAACACTTGTTATTGTCTCCTTTTTTATTATAGCCATCCTAGTGGGTATAAGGTAGTATCTTTGTCTTGTAAATATGTCTTTGGGATTGGGACCACCATCCTTTTGGATATGCTATTCTCCTTGCCTGACATATTCTGCAACTTGAGAATCTTCCCCATCCAACTAAGTCAAAGCTTTAGTCAAGCTTCTCAACTTACCTCCCCATCCATAAGGATCTCTCTAGCTTCTGACTTCCTATCACTTGATACTTACCATAATCTGTACTTCGTATGGCAGAATTAACATGAAATGATGCAGGGTCGGCGAGCCAAAGAGTCAAAAGAAAGATTTCTTGGACTCTCAAGGTCTGGCAGTAGTGCTCTTTTATTTAGAGAATAGTGTGGAATAGCATGGGGACAGGACCCGTGGGCAGTAAAGAGCTGCTGCTGCTGCTGCTGCAAACATGAGTTGAGGGTAGGGCTAAATTTAAGGCATATGTATGTGAGTAATCTCTTTACAAGACAAAGGAAAGAATATGTAAAAAAGAGTTGTTAAAATGGTATCAGTGCCAGTGGGGTCTGGTTATTGGGTGGTCTTATAACTTTTAGATAAGAATCAAACTGAATTAAGTAAATGGCAGAAGCCACCACCTTAAATATTATCTTCAGCTAAAGACAAAAGAGGATGTTGGTGGTGGGGGGAGTCAGCTACATGAGGTTACCAGACAAGCACAATAAACAAGACTTAAGTCCTTGCCATCCCCATTAAGAGTTTCCAGAGATAAGGTTATCCCCCCTTCCTCCTGGTGCAGAGAGGGAGACACCCCCCACAGATGGAAACTTCCTTCACAAATGCAAATGTCTCTCATCAAAGGGCAAGCAAATTCCACTCCTCAGAGCCTCCTCCCTGTCTGCAGTTTTTAACAGTAACCAGCTTAAAATAATCCTCATCATGAACTATTAACTGTATTGGTCAGAACTCTGTTAGAAATGCAACTCAAGCAAGTTTGACCAAAAAAAAGGAATATTTATTGAAAGAATACTGGAGTAACTTACATTATTAAAGGATTGAACAATCAAATGGCAAGGTCAGAAGTGCAACTGGAATTCAAGAACAATTGAAACTGACCACTTCCTGGACTCTCTGTGTCTTGCCTCTGCTTCCTGGGAGTCAACTTTGTTTCCTCTCAAAGCTGATGACTTCTTCCACGAGGCAGGAATTAGGACATCCAACAGTGGCTGAATATCCCATTTAGTAATACCTCCCTCCCCTAGACTAGAAAGTTTATTTTTTCATACTTCCAGTTAGAAAGATACTAGGGAAGGATTCAAATTAGCTTGACATAGGTCAGGTACCCATTCCTGAATCACTCAACTGTAGCTAAAGGGACAGTGTTATTTAGGACAAATGTGGCTATTGAGAAACCAACTCCTATAAATCAAGGGCTATTCCCGTAGTAAAAGGAATATTTATGAATAAGACAACAATCCCAAAATGTGTCTTATACACTCCACACCCTGACTTTTCAGGATTAAGCACATGTGTACACATGTGCATGGACACACTCTCTCACACACACGTATCCTGTTTTCAGGGGACCTGAGTGCCATAGTCGTGAATAAGGACAGAGCTTTCAATGAAATACTCACAGATATATCCTTTGGAGTTGAGGCAATTGTCAGGATGTCCCTCAGTGCCCCAGGACTATTACTTGTGATGCCATTTGTCAGTTTCCTCAGACATAGTACTCCAAGGTAAGCATTTTAGATTCCTAAGAGCATAGTCACTACTGGACCCATGTTCTCTGTATCTGAACCCCTACTCCTATAGAGCTTTAGGATCTTATCCAGTGAGCCAAACTGGAGTTATGGTTGCCTCTAGTGCCACACTATTCAAGGCTGCTGGATACCCTTCATTCTATCTCTAGGTACGCTCTCCAACCTGCTCCGTGCCCTGCCGTCTGACCTGCATCGACTATAAAAGGGTTGCCTTTCCCTTTAGCTCTTAGTTGAGTATAATGAGTGGGGAGCCCCTGCAAGAGAACAGAGAAGTCAGAGTACTTATCCCCCCCAACTCCCTCCCTGTGGAGTTGCCATGAGCTGACAACATTTGTTAACTGAAGGTCACAGTTCTTCTCTGTCCACATAGGCTTTCTCTCTCCAAGTTCCATTAACTTCTTGTAGTTCTGTTCTCCATTTCCCAATTCTTGACTAGGGTTGAGACATGTAACAAAGCTAGAATAATATAGCTTTTGGCAATTTAGCCCAAGGTAATAAGGGAATAAGAGACTCTTTGAGCTTAATTCATTAGAATTACGAAGTTCATGTTGGCTATATCCAAGGGCTGCTTGCCTTGTGGCTCTACCCAAAGGATCTGGAGAGCTCACCCCTTGCTCCCTGCCCATTCACCACCATCACTTCATTCTCTTCCAGAGGAAAATCAGATAGAACCGAATGATTAGCCAGAAGCCAGGCTTAGAAGAATCCTGGGACCCTGAGGTAGGATCCTGGGACCAAGGAACTAAATGGGAGTATTGGGTAGGGAGAAACAAGGCTCTAAGATGAGAGATGGCTTTGTAACCACAGGCCCTCCAGGGCCTCCAGTTCAACTGACCCCATCTCTTCTCAACAGGGTGATTAAGAGTTGCCTGTGGGAAATTCTGCAAAATCACATAGCCAGGCCATGTGCAAAAGAAGAAATAGTGACCTGAAACAACCTCAGAACTAGAGATCCTCCCTCGACCGGAACTCAAGCACGAGGACATGACCGGAACTTGAAAGTTGGACTCATCAGAAGTGAGGGGTCCCTCATTCAGGAACATCTAGTATGGAAATTCCTTCTCCACCCTGTCATAAATGTTTAAAACCTGACCACAAATGGTTGAAGCCCACCTATCAAAGCCTGTCCCACCACAATTTCTGCATGCCAGCCTGTTCCTTAACCTCTTAAATTTTGCCCCAAATCCTGGATCTGGGAGACAGATCTGAGGGCACATGCCACCTGTCTCCCTGCAGATTGATCACACAGAACAAAAGCGGATTTTTCCCCCAAAGCCTGATGCCATAATTAATTGGCTTGTTTATGTGCATCAGGCAGAGAACCCCAATTTTGTGCAGTAACAGTTTTTCCAATATACTGCAAGAAGATTGAACATTGGAGACTGCCCACTAGACCCAGGACGTGACTTGGGACCATGGAGGAGTCTAGAACGAATTGTATAGAATGGAAACCACTCACAAATCTTCCCTCCCACCGTGAATCGGCAATAGACTCAAGAATGAGACTCAAACCTGAAGTAGAGAACACCTGAATATTCTTCTGCAATCTGTGGTATGTGTAACCTGCTAGGAGCTAAAGTTGTTTATTAATGGAATGTTTCATTCCTCCCTTCCATTATGAAGAACCTAGTCTTCTGTTACATTATCTTGAGTCAAGGGTCAGTGGAGTCATTTTCCAGAGATGTAACCACTGATCTTCTCAACAGGAAGCCTCTCCAAGATTCCCCTGCCCAGTCACCTGGGCCATTAAAATAGATAGATAGATGATAGATAGATAGATAAGAAGATTTTTAAAAGTAATCTCTTTTAATTACGTTTCATTTCAAATGAATGCTACTAGAGTCAGTATAACAATAAGACAGTGTGACTAAAACATGTACAGTCACATTTTTCTCTATAAGGACTACTTTCCCAGAGGGAATAAAACAAGCAAGCAAATAAGCCAGCTGCAAGCATGGCACTCTCTTGAAAGTTAAGAGGGTATATATTCGTTTTCTATTGCTGCCTTGACAAATGACCACCAATTTAGTGACTTAAAGCAACACAAATTTATTATGTCACACTTCTGTAGGTAGGATGAGCTTGCCTGGTCTCTCTCTTCCTGGATCTCAAGGCCAAAATCAAAGTGTTGGCCAGCCTCAGCTCTTCCGTGGAGGCTCTGGGAAAGAACGTGCTCCCAAGCCCATTCAGGGCCTGAATTTAGTTCCTTTTGGTTGTAGGACTGAGGTCCCTGTATCCTTGGTGGCTGTCAGCCAGAAGTTTTTCTCAGCTTCAAGAGCCTGGATCATAGTTCTTTTTATCTTTAAAGCCAGTAACAGCGAGTAAAATGCTTCTCATGCTTCAAATCCCTCTGTCTTCTGTCTCCAGCTGAAGAAAGTTCACTGCTTTTAAAGCTTGTGTGATTGGATTGGGCCCACCTGAATAATCCAGGATGCTCTCCTTATTCTAAGGTCCATAACCTTAATTACAAGTGCAAGGTCCCTTTTGCCACGTAATGTAACATATTCACAGTTTCCAGGGATTAAAGCATGGACATCTTCAGGGGCCTACCGCAGAAGAACTTGAAGCTGGGTCACAGCCAAGTGCAGAGAGGAAGGCAGTTCAAACCAAGACAGATGCCACTTTGACGTGAGTTTTTTGTTATTGTTGTTATCTTGTTTAATCCAATATGCTATGAAAATAAATTTCCAAATTTCAATATAGTTTTTCTAATTATATATATAAATATATGACATATATGTAGAATATATATATATGTAGAATATATATATAGTCAAAATCTTGGATCTACATATTTATGAAAAATATCTACCACATAACCTAGTTAGCAAAGCCAGTCTGCCTTATCAAGTTAATCAATCAAATCGGAATTACTGTCAGGGAAAAACAAACTCTGACAATTTTTTTTATCCACTAAACGCATTAATTACAAAATCCACTGAAAAAGACACATATCACAATGGTAAGCTTGCAATATCGTAAAATAAATTACTAAAGTTGTCAAGATTAAAATTATATAAATCTAATATCATTAATGTATGGATTTTTGTTATAAAATCAAGCATAAATCTATTTGCTGTTTTTCAATACTTAACTTGCTATAGTTCAAAATTTAATGTATAGTTAAAATTGTAAGTTCTTTATGAAGGGAGGCCTAGAATAAAAGGCCATATGTTACTCTGTCAGGTGGATGTGCATGTTTGTACTAAACGCAAATGTTGGGCTTCGGAGAATGTTGTTATGGAGGGAATTACCTGGATGCAATGGTGGCCTCCAACTGTGCTGTCAGGCAAGCTATCTCAAAGGTCACGGAACAGAAAGCACCAGCAACCAAATTAAAATTCTTGAATCACACAGGTTGATTTAATCAACTTACAGCACAGTGAGAAGCAAGGGAAAGAGATAGAGTAAGCTAACATACTTAGGATGGGGTACAAGCGGATGGAACCAGGAACAACTTCTCCATTAGGCACCGTAGACATAGTGCCTAGGGCCCCCAAAACTGTTTTAATTTCTTTTAAAATCAAAGGAAGAAAAAATGTAATCCAGCCTGGAATATATTAGTCTTTATACCAATGCAGTAATAAGGTATAATTTTAAATATTTCTTGGTAGTTGAAATGGCCCAGGAAGGAAGCTTCAAGTGGCCAGTGCCCAGGAAAAGATATCCTGTAGTCCAGAATGGAAATACCACACTACCCAAATTTGGGGTCACACACTGTTCACACGTTGTCTCCCCCGCATCAATATTCTCCAGTAGTGATGGAGTTATGGAAATCAGAGTTGAGATTTGAAGAGAGGGTTTTGCAGACAGAAAGTACCTAGAACCAATACAAATACTAGCTCCATCCAAGAGACTCAGGACAAGGATGCACAACAGTAGCTTGGCAACTAGCCTGCTCGATAGCTCTGGGGCTTGACTGACTGAGCTTCTTAGGCAGAGCACATGTGGGACCAGAATAGGATCACACTGGGAGCCTCCAATGGATGACCAATTTAAGGATGCCCAGTAGTGGCATCATCTTACTTTGTGACATGGTCTTTCCATGTCATTGTATCTGTAAGCAACACTCTTGCTTGTTCCATCACGCATTCGATTTGTTCTTTCTTCAACATGTCTTACAGGTTACTTACTATCTGTATTTAACACACTAATTCTGCCTGAGTCTCACAAGCTGTTTGCCCATTTTCTATCTCAAACATGTCCTATCAATTTTGCCTGTATCTCATGGACTGCTAGCTTTCTTATGATGCTTAACACTTCTTGCGAGTTTTATCTACCCCATTTGCCCTCTTGCCTTTTATAAAAGAACTGAATATTCTCAAATAATATAGAAAACACATTAACAGGAAAAATTAAATAAGAGTAATGTATGAGGTTAACAAATAGCACCATTAATTTTGAGACATTGTGATCAAACAGGTTTTATGTAAATAAAGAAAAAGTTATATACACAAAAGACTATGTGGTTCATAAACTTTTCATCAAGTTTTTACCACTGTGTTTTTTATATCAGGAGGTAGACAAAATTAAACATTTTATAGTGAAATAAGATAAGCATTGTCTGTGGTTTAAATATATATTTACTGTTATGATTATAATGCAGATTTAAGCTAAAAGAAACCACACAAAAATTTTATCCATAGGCTTTATCCAAGGTAACTTGAAAATTTGATAGTTCCTACAAATATTCCAGTTACATTTTTAATATTAACTATCTAAAACCTATTCTACTTGGGCTGCTCACACGTGCTTTCCTTTCTGGCTAATGACTAACCTAGGGATAAGCACTGAGAACAATTTATGTGAAATATGTTGGTGGGGAGGACGCCAAGCGGGGGCCATTTTTAGTTTTCATTATTTCTTAGCAACATTCTTTGCTTAAATTCATCAAATTCTCAAGAGCTATGCATTTCTTGATAATAGCAATGGGTAAGTAGGTCATTAAATGAAAGTCAGACCCATGGCCCACAGTTAATATATTTCTGATTTCAGAACACAAAGGAGCCAGAATATCCCCATTTCCAATGCCATGCCATTTAACAGAAATATGTACAAGATAGAAAAGGAAAGGAAGATTTGTGGAGTGGTCCTTGATTTCACCAGTTAAAAGATTTCTCTCTAGTAAGTATTTCAAATTGATTGTATCCTGCAGGGCCTTATAACCCAAAGCAATCGGCAACAGTAAGAATTGTGAAAGATAAAGTGTTTACATTTCTTAGATGAAATGGGAGATGCATTATGGAGAGGGCGAATGGGAAAGGACAGCTCTCTAATGTCAGAAAAAGAACCCCAAGGGTCTGAGTACCCCAGTTTAGAGGCACTGGTGTATACCACAAAATTCAACTGATAATTGCTTATTGACACTATCATCATAAAATGTTTTAATCTTAAGGCATTTTAAGAATCTTAAATTCAAGGACAACTTTTTTGTCCTAGCAATTCTTTTTCTTATTGCAATAACATTGGTTTATAACATAATATAAATTTCAGGTGTACATCATTATATATTTCAATTCCTGTGTATATTACATCATGTTCACCCCTCAAAGACTAATTACAATCCATCCCCACACATGTGCCTAATCACCCCTTTCACCCTTCTCCCTCCCCACTCCCTTCTGGTAACCACCAATCCAATCTCTGTCCCTGTGTGATTGTTTGTCGTTGTTTTTATCTTCCACATATGAGTGAGATGATATGGTATTTGACTTTCTTCCTCTGACTTATTTCAATTAGCATAATAATACCCTCCAGGTCCATCCGTGTTGTCACAAATGGCAAGATTTCATCATTTCTTATAGCTGAGTAATATTCCATTATGTATATATACCACATCCTCTTTATCCATTCGTCCCTTGATGGGTGCCTAGGTTGCTTCCAAGTCTTGGCTATTGTGAATAATGCTGCAATGAACACAGGGGTGCATGTATCTTTACACATTCGTGTTTTTGTGTTCTTTGGATAAATACCCAGCAGTGGAATAGCTAGATTGTATGGTAGTTCTATTCTTAATTTTTTGAGGAATCCCCATACTGTTTTCTACAGTGGCTGCACTAGTCTGCACTCCCACCAGCAGAGTATGAGAGTTCTCTTCTCTCCACATCCTCTCCGACACTTGTTGTTTCCTGTCTGGTTAATTATAGCCATTCTGACAGGAGTGAGGTGATATCTCATTGTAGTTTTGGTTTGCATTTCCCTGATAGTTAATGATGTTGAACATCTTTTCATGTGCCTACTGGCCATCTGTATATCTTCTTTGGAGAACTGTCTGTTCAGATGTTTTCCCATTTTTTAATTGGGTTTTTAGTTTTTTTGTTGTTGAGATGTTTGAGTTCTTTGTATATTTTGGATATTAACGCCTTATGAGATATATGCTTTGCAAATATCTTCTCCCAGTTGTTAGGTTGTCTTTTCATCTTGTCGATGGTTTCCTTTGCTGTGCTTTTTTTTCTTTCTTTTTTTTTTTTTTTAAGGAAGATTAGCCCTGAGCTAACATCTGCTGCCAATCCCCCTCTTTTTGCTGAGCAAGGTTGGCCCTGAGCTAACATCTGTGCCCATCTTCCTCTACTTTATATGTGGGGCGCCTGCCACAGCATGGCTTGACAAGCAGTGTATTGGTCCGCACCGGGGATCCAAACCAGCAAACCCTGGGCTGCCAAAGTGGAATGTGCGAACTTAACCACTGCACCACCAGGCCAGCCCCAGAAGCTATTTATTTGTTTATTTTTTCTATTGTTTCCCTTGCCTAGTCAGACATGGTACTTGAAAATATGCTGCTAAGACCAATGTCAAAGAGTGTACTGCCTATGTTTTCTTCTAGAACTTTCATGGTTTCAGGTTTTACATTCAAGACTTTAATCCATTTTGATTTAGTTTTTGTGTGTGGTGTAAGATAACGGTCTACTTTCATTCTTTTGCTGTCCAGTTTTCCCAATACCATTTATTGAAGAGACTTTCCTTTCTCCATTGTATGTTCTTGGCTCCCTTGTCAAAAATTAGCTGTCCATAGATGGATGGGTTTATTACTGGGCTCTCAATTCTGTTACATTGATCTGTGTGTCTGTTTTTGTGCCAGTACCATGCTGTTTTGGTTACTATAGCTTTGTAGCATATTTTGAAATCAGGGAGTGTGATACCTCCAGTTTTGTTCTTTTTTCTCAGGATTCCTTTGGCTATTGGGGGTCATTTGTGTCCTATATAAATTTTAGGATTCTTTGTTCTATTTCTGTGAAAAATGTTTTTGCTACTTTGATAGGGATTGTGTTGAATCTGTAGATTGCTTTAGGAAGCATGGACGTTTTAACTATGTTAATTCTTCCAATCCAAGAGCAAAGACTATCTTTCCATTTCTTTGTGTCTTCTTCAATTTCTTTCAACAAAGTTTCATAGTTTTCGGTGTACAGATCTTTCCCCTCTTTGGTTAAGTTTATTCCTAAGTATTTTATTCTTTTTGTTGCAATTGTAAATGGGATTGTATTCTTAATTCCCTTTATGCTACTTCGTTGTTAGTATATAGAAATGCACTTCCAATACTGTGTTAAATAAGAGTGGTGAAAGTGGGCATCCTTGTCTGCTCCCTGTTCTTGGAGGGATAGCTTTCAGGTTTTCTCCATTGAGGATGATATTAGCTGTGGGTTTGTCATTTTTGACCTTTTATGTTGAGGTGCTTTCTTTCTATACCCATTTTATTCAGAGTTGTTATCATAAATGGATGCTGTATCTTGTCAAATGCTTTCTCTGCATATATTGAGATAATCATGTGATTTTTATTCTTTATTTTGTTAATGTGGTATATCACATTGATTGACATGTGGATGTTGAACCATCCCTGCAACCCTGGAATAAATCCCACTTGATCATGGTGTGTGATCTTTTTAATGTATTGTTGTATTTGGTTTGCCAGTATATAGTTGAGGATTTTTGCATCGATGTTCATCAGAGATATTGACCTATAATTTTCTTTTTGGGTGTTGTCCCTGTCTGGTTTTGGTATCAGGGTAATGTTGGCTTTGTAGAATGAGTTAGGAAGGTTCCCCACCTCTGCAATTTTTTGGAAGAGTCTGAGAAGGATAGATATTAAGTCTTCTTTGAATGTTTGGTAGAATTCTCCAGGGAAGCTGTCTGGTCCTGGACTTTTTGCGGGGGGTAGGTTTTTGATTGCTCTTTCAATCTCCTTACTGGTGATTGGTCTATTCAAATTCTCTGTTTCTTCTTAATTCTGTTTTGGAAGCTTGTATGATTCTATGAATTTATTGATTCCTTCTAGATTATCCAATTTGTTGGCATATAGCTTTTTGTGGTATTCTCTTATAATTTTTTGTATTTCTAAGGTGTCTTTTGTAATTTCTCCTCTTTCATTTCTGATTTTATTTATTTGAGCCTTCTCTCTTTTTTTCTTGGTGAATCTAGATAAAGGCTTGTCAATTTGTTTATCTTTTCAAAGAACCAGCTCTTGGTTTCATTGATTTTTTTCTGTTGTTTTCTTAGTCTCTATTTCATTTATTCTGCTTTGATTTTTATTATTTCCTTTCTTCTACTGATTTTGGGCTTTGTTCTTTTTCTAGTTCCTTTAGGTGCACTGTTAGATTGAGATTTTTCTTATTCGTTGAGGTAGGCTTGTATTACTATAAACTTCCCTCTTAGAACCTGTTTTGCTATATCCCATAAATTTTGGTATGTCGTATTTTCATTTTCATTCGTCTCCAGGTGTTTTTTGATATGAAAAACAAGTCTTCTCCTTTCTTCTCCTTCTCCCACCAACACTTTCACGTTTTCCATTCCTGTCTCCTTTTGCACAATATGGTTATATCAGTGCTTATAAAATTATGATTCTATATGCTATTTATAAGACATGCAGCAAACTGTAACTTGTTTTATTCTTTTCTGAAACACGCTTTCCTTTTCCTGGAGTTAATTATTGTCCCCCTCCACCCATTACTTTCCGAGTTCTTATCAGTTAATTCTATCTCCGATTTTCCAAAAGGGTCTTAAGTCCCCTCTGAAGACATGCATTCACACTAGATATTCCATCAGTTTCATCTTAGTGAGGAAGGCTCTGGGAGAGCCTTATCTGCCTTATCTAGATTGGTGGTCCATTATGCTTGGTGTACTCCATTCATCTTGGGTATTTTACATGCTTTTCTGCCATGTTACGTCTCCCAATTCCAATATTACGTGTGCATTAGAGTGAGAAATGCTACCAGACACAAACCTTGACCTTTCAGAGCTTTACACAATACATTTTTGCTTCTCATGTTTGTCACAGCCAGGTGCAACTGTGGCAATGCTTATTATGTATGGGCTTCCATCTTTTAACTATATCATCTGTAACAAGTGCCTCCAAAGTTGCCTATGAAGGGGAAGAGACAGTTGGAGGATTGTGAGGGATATTGTTAAGGGCCAGGCCTGAAAACAGTTTGCATTACTTCTGCCCTCCTCCTGGGACAGAGCTCAGTCTTAAGATCCCAAACTTAGCAAGGGGGATTAGGGCACGTCATCTTCCTGTGTGTGAAGAAGAAGAAATGATGTGGGGAACATCTAGCATTCTGTCTGCCAAGTTTGCTCACCTGATCACCAAACCGTTTTATTCTTTTTCAACTGCGTAAACAGAAGACAACCCACAGCAATAATCTCCATTGGTTCCAACTCTCTTGTTCTGGCACCTATGAACTAAAACCAAAAATCATCAGTTGCATAAACCAATAAAATAAAAGGGTAGCTTATAAACAGAAAATACCTCCAAAAAATTTGAAGAATAGCAGACCTCAGACAATCACTGCCCCATAGCAATTCTGAAATCCCACTGGGCACTGGGAGGGGCCCCAACCCTGGGGGCAGGGGGAGTTCCTGGATTGGGCCTTGATTCTGCCTTGGGAAGGAACTCCTTTGGCTGTTATTCTCTGTGGCCTCTTTCTCTGCTCTCTGGGAGATTCTGATTTGTGTTTTCCTTGGTCACATCTGACCTGAGTGTTGACAAGCACGTCTCTTTGGGAGGAAAGTTTAGGGAGATTTTGAAGCCTCTTTTGCAGTTTTGGAGGTTGGGCCACAGGAATTGTTTTAGTTTGAAACTGTTTTGAGGTTTTTTGATCAAATTCATGGTTTCTTTGGCAATACTATTCCTTCAGAGACCTAAGTTTCTGATGTATTTGCTTTCAATGGCATTCGTATGCAAAACCACACCCAAAGCTCTTTTCTAAACATGGTTATGCTTCTAGATATACAGTGCTTTCATTGCCTCCTCTCTTCTCCACATCTTTCTCCCAATTTAATGACAACCACACTGAGGCTATTAGGCTTAAATGGGACCATCATACCTAAGTCACTTTATCTAACTGAAGTTTTACTGAAGATTTCTATCTCTTACCTTTTGTGGTTTATAAGAAGACGGCTTTCTGGGCCCAAATTTCTGCCCCTTTTTTATTTCCTTTTATTTTTCCTTGCAGACCAGCCAGTTATTTCCTTAGGCTGTCTGTTTCTTTTGACAACTTGATAAATGAGTCCCAGAGTGGCCAACACCCACCAACACTTGGGTTCTTTGTAATCAGTTCTCCTCAGGCCACTGGCTCCCATATCACAGCACGTGAGAGTTTTATCGAATGTTTGCTGCTGCATAACTTGGGTCCCCATCTTCCCAATTTCTGATATCAGTTCCTTTGCTGCCTGCCGCTGAGCCACTCAACAAATGCCACATAGTTTAAGTTTCTCTTACATCAGCACCCACTTTCTAGGAGTGTGAGAAAGCAACATTAGTTGCTACAGCAGAAAAACCCCATATCTCAGTGGCTTAACTTAATAATTCTTTATTTCTCACTCATGTCACTATCCAGTGCAGATCAGGTGGCTCTCCATCTCATAGAAAGCCATCTGGAACACAAGACCTCAAAGTGACCATGGAAGAGAGAGACCAGAAGATCATTCTGGGTATTTTTATATCCAGACCTGATGGGGAGGGTTACATCACTTCTGCCCATATTCCATTGTCCAGGATTCAGTCATATGGCTCCAATATAACTGCAAGGGATGCTGGGATATGTAGTCTTCCTGTGTGCTGGGAAGAGGAAATGGTGTGGTGGTGGACACATTGCCTTGTCTCTGACACACTTCTTTTTCTTTCTAGTTTTTTTTTTTTTTATGGAGCACATCTTCTAGTAACTTCTTCAGAAGGGTTATGGAGAGGTAAAATTTGGGGGACCTCACATGTCTGAAAATTTCTTTATTCTAGCCTCACATTCATTAATTGCATGTCTGAGAAGAAAATTCTTGATTGGAAATTTTAGTTTCCTCCAGAATTTTGTAGCCGTTGCTCCACGATCTTCTAGCTTCCAAAATTACTATTTCTTTTGAGAAGTGTCTCATCATCCTGATTCTTTTACACAGGCCATGATTTTCATTTTGGGGATTTTTTTGTTATTATTGCTTCTCTCTCTCTGCCTGGAATTCTACAATTTTCTCCTTGATGCTCCAGATATTTGAGATAAATTTCACATGGGTTGTCTCCATGTGGATCTATTTTCATTCATTTGTCTGGACACTGAGTTTTTCAATCTGGGAACTCATGTCTTTCCATTTGGAGAATTTTTCTTGAAATTATTTAGTGGATTATATTCTATCATTTTCTTTGTTATTGTCCTTTCTGAATGCCTGATAGTCAGATATTAGACTACCTGGGCTAGTTTCATGATTTTGTTTTCTCTCCTATTTTTCTACTTTCAGAAGAGATTTGCTCAACTTAATCTTCTAACCCTTTATTGGGTTTTCTTCTTCTTTTGGGGTGGGGGGGGAAGATTAGCCCTGAGCTAACTACTGCCAGTCCTCCTCTTTTTGCTGAGGAAGACTGGCCCTGAGCTAACATCCGTGCCCATCTTCCTCTACATTATATGTGGGACGCCTACCACAGCATGGCTTGCCAAGTGGTGCCATGTCCGCACCCAGGATCTGAACCGGCAAACCCCGGGCCACTGAGAAGTGGAACGTGTGAACTTAACCACTGTGCCACCGGGCCAGCCCCTATTGGGTTTTCTTCTTTACCATCAAGTTTTTAATTTCCAAAAACTCTTTTATATTCTCAGAATACTTTTTTATGGTAGCCTGTTCTTCACCCATGGGTACTATATCTTTTCTAAAAAATTTCTTTCAGGATATTATTTGTTTGAAGTTTTTCTCATGCACAATTGGTTTCCTCCAAAATGCTTTTTTCTTGTTGCTTTTATTATTACAAGTATTCTTCAGACCTTTCCTAATCATTGGTTGTCTGCTCCCATGGAGAACTAGATGAGGGGGCTTGTTGACTTTGAAGATCCAATCGTATTTTCCAGATAAGATCTTCCAATTTTCTGCCTGGATGCCAATATTCCTAAACAGAATGGAGGAACATGGCTGGAGGTAGAAGTGAGGTCTTTCCATTCCATAGACATATTTCGGTTAAACCCCTCTATTTTCAGTTTGGCACCCTGCCTTTCACGATGCTTGGCTGCTCCTGGTCCACAGGCCATCTTGTCCCTTTCCGGATAATAAGCTTAGTCTCTTTCCTGGGTGAAAGAAGAGGGATTTCCCCACCAGTGTGGAGTAGGAGAGAGAATCTAGGGATCTCACCAGTTCTTAAACAGCTCTCAACCCTTCTTTCTCATAGGAGATCCTCTCTTCTGGAAGTCTCTGAACCACCACTCTCCTCCCAATTTCAGAGTCTTTTGAGGATTTTGTGGTTAAACCAGGTTGGTTCTTCCCTTTCCCGGCTGTTGGTTGAGAATTGAACCTTCTTGTGTCTGCCAAGCCGGTTACTGCTTCTCCATTTCATTTTCCAGTTTCAGAAACTTTGTTACTTTGGACTCCTCTCTGGTTTGTCCCATTGGTGGAGCCTCAGATCTAGGCAAGAGAGGGCTGGCTCTGAGCAGCTCCCACCCCAAGGAGGCAAAGATTCCTTGAAGCAAGGGGTATGCCCATCCAGGGTCTTTAAAATCCCTTTGGGATCACACTCTGGGTATACAAGATCCCCAAATTGCCTTTCCAAATAGTCCTTGGACATGTCTAGGGCCTGCCAGAGTTTCTTCCTGGGTCAATCCAGCAGGCTGTGCACCCTAGACCTGAGGGATGGCCAAGAAAGAGCTCTTTGCAAGGGATGAGAATGGAACTGGACATGTGCTGCAGGGCCCGCGTGTGTGCACCACTGTCTCTTCCCAAAGCAAGTCACAGCTTTGACAAAAGTAAAATGAATTTTAGTTGCACTCTGCCATTGTTTGGTATGAATATACACATATATTTCAATTTTGTCATTATGAGGGTATATTTGTAAAGGTGGGAGGAGAAACTATAACAGTTTGTTAGCTTGATTTATAACTTTTAAATACTTCAAATATATAGCATGCCCCTCCATACTCTTGGTCAGGGACTCTTCAAATGTTCCAGGTGGGCTGCTTTCCATCTTTTTAGCTTTATGTCCTTAAAAAATCATTTTACTGTGAGTTTTTAGGAGTATTTCAGGAAGGAGCAAAGTTAGACATGTGTGTCCAATCCACCATCTTGACCCGGAAGTGTTCCCGTGCCTCCCTTCCCACTTGAGACACTTCCATGGTTCCTGGTGCTCTCACATCGGCTGTGGGTCCTCCTTCCCTTTGGGATCTTTCCTTTTTTGTTACTCTAAGCATCACTGCTGCTCACCAAAGTATGACCAAAGAAAGAGGTTCATAAGGAATATTTATTCTTGTGCGTTTGCACAAGGATTCGCCTGTAGTTTTTTCTTTTATATATATATATTTTTTTTTTCCTTCTCAGGTCAATTCAATTCTCATGAAGTTTTGAGATCTTCTCATTTCTTTTCACTGTATCTTCTCATCCCACCTCATTCATCCTTGAGTTCCATACAATGTTTAGCATAATTCCTTGCTCATAGTAGAAACCCGATGAATATTTTTTCAACTGCATTGCACTGAATTGTAAGCCCTTAAAATTTATGCCAAGGGATGTTACTTTGAGATGTCACTGAATCCCTCGTCTTTGCTGATAGAAAACAGGTGACACTACAACTGCACTATTTAAGGTATGATTATATTTGTGTCCTTCCTGCTAAAGGAGTAGCAAATTGTACTGACTGGTTGTTTCAGAATTTTGTAGGATAGTCTCAAAAGTACATAACCAAAAGAACTGAAATTCTGCCTCTGTACAGAATTATTATGATCCCTGGCAGTATGGACCATCCAATAGAAAAATTTCTGAAGCTCTCAAAAATTACTGTTCTCAAAATATTTCCCTTTGGGCACGTCCCTTATGTATCACTACTCTGATGGAAGTGACATTAAGGCATACTGTTTACCTCAGCCACGGGCTAATGGGGACAGAGAAGGAGCTAGCACTGTGAGAACGAGAGGAACTGATTTGGTTGTAAGGGTCAAGAGACCTCTAACAACGGGGCGGGCCCCATGGCCGAGTGGTGAATTTCAGACGCTCTGCTTCAGCAGCCCAGGGTTTTGCTGGTTCAGATCCTGGGCATGGACATGGCACTGCTCATCAGGCCATGCTGCGGTGGCATCCCACATAGCACAACCAGAAGGACCTACAAGTAGAATACACAACTATGCACTGGGTAGCTTTGGGGAGAAGAAGCAGCCAAAAAATTAAGATTGGCAACAAATGTTAACTCAGGTGCCAATCTTTAAAAAAAAAGAGAGAGACCCCCCACACACACACACAACAAAAGACAAGAAGCCACAGCCAGCAGCTAAGCCACAAGCCCCTAGAGGGACATGATGAACCCATGAAAAATTTCAACCAGCCCTAAATACTCAAAGCTGTCAGCCCTGTTGGGAAGAAGTCCCATGACAATTGGAATTCAGAAAGCCAGCAGTGCAGTGAACCTAGAGAGTCTATTGTCTGAAGTGGACTATCCCCGTGCACATTTGAAGACATGCCAATCAGCATCTGTCCTCCCGGAAGAATAAAAGTACCTAAGAAAATTGTCAGCTGGCCAAGCAAGCTTCAAAGTCAGGGCAAGATTCTAATCCCAGCAAGGAGATTGGGGAGCTCCTCATGAATCCATGTTGATGGCTGTCTTCAGTGACCTTTGCCCTGGTTTCTTGGCTGTTTGAGAGATCTCTGTTCAAAAGACCTCACTAAGGCCATGTATTTTGACTTCCGCCTCATTCTCAGTTGCTCAAAACAAAAGTTAACAGTCCTAACTCCCTTAAAAGTAAAGGAGATTTATTCATTGGGGCCAAACAGCAGACATTTGCTATAGGAATTTTTGGCATCCATTGAAGTCAAATTTAGATATGAGTTGGCCAACTCAGCCTCTTAGAACCAAAGTTGAGTTTTCTGCAGCATGAACAAAAGAAATAGAGCTGAATCCTCAGTCAAGAAATTCCAGTTACAAAAAATAAAAGGATTTACAAGTTTCATCCTATGTTTCCTGTAAAACCAAGAAACTCCAACCAAGATACCCACTGACCCTCATTCACTGTTTTTACGGGGCACACAGTGCTGTGGTTCCTCCAATTGCTACCTTTTCCTACTTTTGAGAGTCAGGAGCATGTTTCCTGTGATTTTTCCATATTGTCAAAAAAAGTTCGACTCACTCTAAAAACAATTTAAAATATTGTGTTAGTAATAAGAAATGTGACTAGCTCCAGAGAAAAGTCAGAAATGAACAAAGTCAGATTTTAGGGTTTGGGTTTGAAATTAAGGAAAAGACCTTATGAACTAAATTTGGGTGTTAGGAGCTGTCTTGTTCCAAAACAAAAGGCAACTTAAACATAGCCTTCCAGAAAGGCTCCAATTCCCTCTGGCCTTAAATCCTTAACAATGTATTGGGCTTTGAGCCTCAAGTTTAGTTGGAAGTCCATGGCCGTGGTACAAAGAGAACCCTGAATCCCTCACTTCTGAAACCCTGCTCATCTGTTTCTCCTGCCTCTGCCTCTGCCTCTGCAAAGAAGAAGTATGACTAAAGCAATGTTTAGTCATCTACGGAAGAAAAGACTATCAAAGAACACCTTAAATAAATCCTTGGGGACCTGAGCAATGCCTTGGTATTCTTTGGAAAATATTCTCTTGAGACGTTAATATGGAACTGCCAGCATTCAACCAAAGAAAATTATCTTCAAGTTGTGATACAGTCAAGTGGAGCAATTTGTGGGAAAGGAAGAGACCCAACCAGGACCATTAATGTAAATGATTATTGATCTGTCATTCATGAAGGAAGCTATTGAGGCTTCCTGATTTGTTCTTGGTCTGCACTTAATTGTAAGGCTCCTAAAGTGAACTCTGAGAAGAAAGAAAATGCTCATGGAATGGATGAGACAAAAACTTGCCCACTCTTGATTCTTAGTATAAATACAGATAATGAATGCATGTTTCTGAATTCTTCTTGGGGCTTTCAAGTGGAAAGTGTCAGAAAAGTTCCCAAAGAAGTCTTTGGCTTTTGGCTGTCCACAAGAGTTCAGTTTGATCTTTTTGACCCTTCAAAGTGAGTCTTTCCTGCGGAGAAAGCAGGCTCAGCAAGAGGGAGCCACATGGCTCCATGGAGAAGGGCTGAAAACTCTCTTGGAAAAAAATCCAGCCAGAGCCCAAAGAACCCCTAGCTTTGGAAAGGACGGGATAGTCTGGAATAAGTCTCCTCCGTGATACTCTTGCCTCAGAAAGCATTATACTTCTGTTCCCTTCAGGTAAATTCTTGCCTACCCTTAAATATCTGGAGTGGAGATAGACATTTTGTGCCTGGAACTACCTCTCTCCTGGTAGGTCTTCAGAATAAAGCCAATATAGCTATGAAAAGTAAGCAAAGCTGCATTGATACATCGGGAATGCAGACTTTTATCAGGTTTGTACAGGGTTTAACTGGGCATGATACAATCAAGAAATGGTTTTGTTTTCTCCCACCAATGCCTAGGAAATATTACATCACTTTCTAGTCAATTTCAGCCATTAAAAAAAAGTCCCGTCTTCAGGAATTTAAAAATCCAGTCCAAACCCTTCTAAATCAAAACTTTAACATTGCATTCAATTAAAACTTCTTTCTCCACCCAGCTCAGGCTTAAGTTCAGGTTTGGGAATCAGCATCTTGGGTCCTTGTCTGACCTTCTCTCTTTGCAATACCTCCTACCCCACCTCATTCCACCCAATGCTGTCTTGTAGGTTCTCCAGGAACAAGAGAGATGAGAGGGAAAAGATCAAAGAAAGCTGTAGTTAATTGGTGCTGTTTTCAGGGCTCTCTTGGCTCTTGAAGTGCCTCCATCATATAAATACCGGCTTTATTTTGTGGGTGGCAATTATAGGTGTTTTCGGTGTGTTGAAGACCACCTTTGGGCACCATCCCCTAATCCAAACAATTCTTCCCCTGGCTGAGCACCTATGACCCCAGCCCTATCAGCTGCTGCCCCGGTAGTATAACTCTGAGGACCCCTGACCCCAGCAGATAGCCTTCTTAGACAGGATTCTGTCAAGACAACTTGAATCTTGATCCTTTTACACATTTTTTGCCTGAGGCCTTGGGGACACATTCTTGCCCCTCAAAACGGTGCAAGTGCAGCTTGCCCAGCCACTGAGCTTGCTCTTCTTTCCCTACTGTTGTGAGCTGCCCCAGCCAGCCTCCCACTTGGCTTCTCCAGGGGACACCCTTCAAGCTTTCTAGAGAACTCTGTGCTCATACAGGCAAACTAATGAGTTTCTGAACCCCAGCTGGTATTCAGCCAAGGAATGTGACATGATCACCCCTTTCTAGCAGACGACACCAGAATCTATGAGAAGTTCTGGTGGCTTAATTGGGTCCTCTTCATTTGGCTAATGGATGAGAGCAAAAAGAAGCAACATCTTCTCCTCTTTTCCCTTCCCCAAGGAGGAGATCCACAGCTGGGTTTACATGTACAAATTCCCATCAAAATAATTCACCCAATACATTCCAGTCTTCCAATTTATAAGATAGAACCTGGTTGAGTGGTGCAGGTGTTCGAAGGACAAGTCTGGCTCATTTTTTGGTAAGTTCTGAATGAAAGTGAAGTCATGTATTTATTTAGTCCATTGCCCTCAACTTTAAGGCTTCGGCAGAAATTCCAGTGCAGAGAGAAAAGTCTCTTTTCAGAGGCCATTACACAGATTCTACCTCTACCAGGATAAAAAAGTCACAAGATGAGGTGACAGGGTGAGCTGTCTGCTTCAAGCAGTCATCTCCTCATCTCTAGTGGACTTCTCTTTGGCTAATGCCAAGGAGTCCTTAGCACTGACCCTCCACTCAAAGTCATGTGTCTAGCCCTATGTACTTTGATCCCTCTACAAGAGGTTGGGTATCCATTCCCCAAAGGAACACCAACCAATTTTTGAGGGGCCTTCAGATACTGAATGAGTCTTCAAGCCTTTACTTCCATATAGTATTGAAGCATCACATTATGAAAACTGGCTATGTACATACAACAAATTGAAAATCCTTAGCTAGCAGCACGTTAGCTCATTAAACATGAAACATTTCTTCTAACCCCCAAGAATACCATCATAAGTAGCCGACCTAAGGCACACCAAAAAATAAGAGATAATGTGGAACCTTGTGAATAGCATTCACTCTCAGTTACTCCCGGGTGATTGATTGAGAGGAAAATGTTCATCTTATCCAGGTTTAGTTTAGGCCTGACTCACCTGCTCCTTGTGTTGGTGTGACATCAAGGAATAAAATCTAACTTAACATCACTCCCCAAAAGAGAAGTAGACAGTTAACCTGCTAAGGAGAAAGCCACATAGCGCATGCTAAATCCAAATATAGATTGTTTCCAGAAATTCTGTTACATTAAATTGTCTGTGGGTAATATAGTGAATCTGATAAGAAAAACCAAAGCATGCACATGCTTGAATTTTTTTACACATCAAAGCTATTGAAAGTTAGAGTGATGGTGATATACCATAACCATAGTATAAGGCAAGTTTGACCTTTTCTCTTTCTGAGTTACCAGCACTAATAAAACAAGTGACCATATGAATTATCAACTGGGGTCCATTCTAGACACTCAGACAAGTAACAGGGACCATGAGAAGGATGTGGTGAGTAGAGGAGAGACAGGTAATCCTCAGCCAGGGCATTGCACAAGGACACATTCTAGTCTGAGCTGGCTCTCTGGTATCAGTGCTAGAAAGCAAGAGGAGAATCAGCTAAAAGGGCAGGACACTCAGGCTGGGCCCACCATCACCCAGTGCATCCAGGGCGGCCAGCTCCATTGGTCATCTGCCTGGTGACCAATCAAGGCAAGCCATTCACACTCCAGCTCTGTGCATTGTGCTCACTCAGGCACCCTCCTGGGCACATCGTTCCCGTGAACTCCAGAAGGAACCCTGGCCTTGTCTCCCTTTCCAGCCCACTCTTGTTCCCGGGGCTTCACATGTCAATGTGTTTTCCACAGTCAGGCCTTTTAAGAAAGGCTTTTAAAGGCTCAAATTTACTGGCACCCAGTTTGGGTGATCCAGTCAATTCCCCCCTCACCAACCTATCCTCCTCCCATTGAGTGCTGTCACAACTGAGACTGTTCCCATCTGAGAGTGTCACCTCTGACTTATTCACATCCTTTAAAATGCTATTCCTTTCCCTATTCTATTCTGAGCTAGGTAGAGCAGATGCTCAACATATTGAACAACTGGTATAGGTATAGGCACCAACCAATCAGAACGGATTCCAGCAGTAAACAATCAGCACAGAAGGGCTAGTCCACACCTGCTGAATATGGACCCCGAAGTAAGGATGAAGAAACTTAGGCCTGTGTTTGGGACCAATGGCTTTTCTTCCATTGTTATCCCCAGTGTTCTTCAAGAGCCCCACGACTATCTACTGGTAGAGCTGGTTTGACCAATCACATCATTCACAGTGGTGAAAGCCTTGTCTACATGGAAACAAAAGGCGTCATGCCTATATTTTTTGTTTTTTTGGGTTAGGGGGTTGTTGGGTCTTTTGACATTTAGGTAATATCTCTGCATAAATAAACATCTCCACACCTAGGAATTTCAACAAGTATATTTTTCTGAAACAACTTCCTTTCCAAAGATAAGCCCTTTCCATGTTGCGATCATACCGTGAGTTACTAGGAAGCCCCAAGGAAACCCGTCACTCTGAATTGAGACTTCCTCTACACTCAGGGGGTCAGAAAGAACTACACAGGCCCTCAGAATTGTCCTCCTTTACCGCCCTGATGGGGCGGCCAGCTGTTTTATTCCTCTTCAAATGAGATAGACTAATTGGCAGCTGACAGAGAAGCTACATCAAATAAAGACTCCCAAATATCAATTCTATTTTAGCAGGCAAAGACAGAAGCCATGATTAAGACACCAGCCATTTCCTGGAAATAAAAGCCCACCAGGAGGTGCTTGAGAGTCCAAAGGATCATCAACACCAGCTGGCAACTAATCTCCGGGGAACACTCTTCTTCAAGTGTCTCTGTTACAGGCTAAATATACCCTACATATAATTTAAATATAGACGTGCTATCTATGCTTCACATTCCCTGGGGCTGCCAGCAGAAGACAAGGATCAGCCCAGCAACACTCGGCTTTGCAGGGCATCCATCGAGAAAAGGTACTGACTCTTTCACTTCATCAGCATCCCATATGTGCTGAATTGGTCTGGACTCCATGTATTTAAAAAAACACTAATTTTTCTTCCCTAAAAAAAAAAAGAAAAGGTTCATGAATTTCTTGAATATTTTCCTACTACTGAATTGGTATAGCAAAACATGTTTAAATCAGGGCAGTCATATTAGCTGCAAAACTGCAGTGATCAATCGCCCTATTTTTACCATAATGTTTTAAGCACTTTTGAATCTTTGGACTGAAATATGTATATGCACACATATTTAGTCAAAGTAGTCAAATAATCCAAAAGACCAAGGCATTGGCAGCAGTGGAGAGAAATTTATTGCTAGGGCTGTAGGGTGACATGGCCTTACCAGAGGCTGAGGGCCCTTAAAAATCATTTAATTTAGCATTTTGTGGGCATCTTTGGGGTATAATAAGGCCTGTCCGGTTTGAAAGGAAAGCTATTGGATCAGTTAAAGAATAAAAGTGAAAGTGTTCACATGACAAGAGGATTAGGCATGGTTTTCATTTTTTGGAAAACACTAAGTGCGTAATCTGAGGCTGGTAGGGAAATGGCCACACGAAGCAAGAAATGGGGATGAAGCCCACCACCACTGGAGTCTCAGAACATGAAGAGAAATGCCATTTCAGACATGCTGTATTTGAAGCAGTGGGCTGAATTTCATGCAGACTTCAAGAACCTGATGCTGCTCTTAACAAGCTGTTTGTTCCTTGGTGCTTAGAAAATGTATCCCTGGTCTTATAAGAAAAGGTCTGGCACTGAGTTTTAAGTCTCACCCAGAAGCAGTTATTATTCCTCAGACTCTCTCTTCCTTGTAAGTTACTCAAGTAGGCCAAGTATACAATACTGTGCTCTGAATATTTACATCTGCCTCTGGCAGAGATTTAACTTTGGCTTTGAGAGAGAGCATGGATGAAGCTGTAACCAAGGGCACAATGTGGATCAGAGACAGATTTGGCCAAGCTGTGGTCCAGGACCAAGTGCCTTGGAGGGGCAGGAATATAGAGGCGGATCAAAGAGCAGACAGGATCAGAAACCAAGGCTTAGTTCTCTTAAGTCAAGGCTCTGGATCTAGGTCTCAGGCCAGGGCCAGACCACAAAATGCAAAAGGTACAGGTAGAAATGGACTCCCTGAATGAAGTGGGTCTGGGAGAATCAAGATAAAGTCAGACAACTGGGGATCCAAAGATAGCTGACTGGTTTCATCATCTCCTAGGAGGAGTCCTGAACAGAGGCTTGCAGCAAGGGTCAGGGACAGCCTTGTGTCAGATGGACAGAGGGTTTGCCACTGATCCAAGTTTGATTGGGTAACCCCTGACAAGTCTTGCTTTTTCTCCTGCTCAACTTTATTATCAATCTCCACAACAACATTAAGCATCCATTTGTACGTGACTGTTTTCAGACAGCCCAGCTATCAATCAGAAAACCTCCCAGCTTAACAGAACATTAGTGTAAATAATCTCTCAGTACATCTAGACTCCCACCCCAGCTCTCCATTTTCCCTGTCACAACTGGGCTATTCAAGGCCAGCACCTTACACTAGTCTAGTTCCAAACCAAGCCTGGCCTGAGGAAGGAAACCATTGTGTTGCTTCAGCTCTCCCTCTTGCCCCTTCCAACCCCACCACCCATCTGGTAGGGCTTAGCTTTAGGTTACCTGCCTGTAGAATGACAGGGGAGTGGTGCCCACCCATGGTGGCTAGGAGACAGCCATGTGCCTGGATCCACCCTAGTGGCCATCCCAACCTCTAAGTCCCAAGACTGATACCTGAGCTCCCACACATTCCCTGAGGGCAGTTCACTACCTCTTGGGTGACCATTCTCGTAACAAGGCAATCAGGGCTCCTGCACTTTGTGCTTCCCAAACCCAGATGATCTGTGTGTGCCCCAGGTCAGAGAACTGGGTTGGTGCCTTGTACCCTGTGCTCCAAGGTCCTGTTGGATTCTCCAGATTTGTTACTGTGATTTTCCATTCCCCTAATGGACAGAAGCCCTGGCCCTAATCACAGCCAAGTGAAGGCTGTGCAACCCAGCAGTGAGTGCTCTCTGCTGGAAAGTTGATCTCCACTCCATTCTCCCACCACTCCCTGGGGCCAGATTCAGATCTAGAGCAGAAAACCCCTACTTCATAGGCCTTTCCTGACTCTTTCCACTCCAGCAAGGGGAGGGGCCTCGCCTCTAGGTTACAGAGCCCCCAAATAGTTTATCCCTAGGATAGCACTTTCACATTCTGTTGTAATTCTGTTTCAACTTGACTGCCTTGTTTATCTAGTAGGCTGTGACCTCCTTGAAGGCAGGGATAAAATTCTGACCATTTCTATATAGCCTTGGTGCAAATACGGTGCCCAGCACAGAGAAGGAATAAAATATACATCAATTGAAAGAATTTTGGATGGATGAATGAGAAAATGAGCTTTCTCATCAACAATAGCCAGTTTACCTGGACTTCTCAGTATCCCCTGAATTTCCATGACCTAAGGCCAACTTCATGATGAGAGCTTGCTGGGCCTCTGAGGAAAGCTGAGCAGCTCTGCCCACCTAGCCAAACCTCAGCTGTGGGGATCTGTTGCTGGCCTTAGTACCCCGGAATCTATACCACCCTGGTGGTGATGTTAGTGGTAGGAAGTCTAGCGCCACCCCAGCCCTACTGACCACTCCCTACTTTGACCACATCTCACAGAAAGTCAATTGTCTGGTTGCACTAACAAATTCTGATATGTAATATGGGACCTTTTTAAGTGATGGTATAGACTGGTAGCAATCTTAGAATGGCATTGACACGTGTCCCCTTAAATAATATTCCAATAACAACTGTCTCCTGTTTCAGAAACAATTGAGTTCACAAGCCATGGAAGAGAAGAGAGAAAGCACAAGGAGGGGCATTTTATAATTTCTCCAAATAACAAGCGCCAGAAACCTCTTACAATTCTTAGTCACAGAACACCAACAACAAGCAGAAAATTTGCACTTAAACGTGACTGTAGACAGGTATTGGAGTATTGTATTTTGTCCCAGCACTTCACTAGAGTAAACAAATAATCAAGGGACTTAGTTCAGGAGAGCCCATTCCATTGGGGGGAGATTTGGAGGGGCACCAGGGTCAGGGTATGGACCCCTCCATGCTGGGCTTTCCAGAACAGTGCCAATTTCAAATATTCAGTCCTGTTGTACAATCAAACAATATATCTACACTTTCTCATCCAAACTGCATCTCCTCACACATAGGAATCCATGTGTCCTGATTTGAGGGTCGGAAAAAAATGGTACCCATTGATAGATCCCAGTAGAGATGTCCTCTAAATTGGGTCTTTTATAGCTAGAGCTGTACATTCTATGTAAAATCCTTCACTAGATAGATCAAAAGGGAGTTTCTCAAGCTTTTCTGAGAATCCCCAGAGAGTTACCCTCTGGCAGAAGTGGGGAGAGTGTGAAAGCAGAAGTCTCTAGAAAGTACCTATATTAGCAGAAGGTAGGCAGAGAATGTATGCCGTGGGACAAGACTGACCCAATGGGACAAGAAACTGGAAGAGACTCTGGGCATTGGAAAACTGCAATCAATGACAATTCAAATGGGGCTGCCTTCTAGGGTCACTAAAAGCTTCTTTTCCATCAATTGGGTCAAATTATTTCAAGAACAAGTACAAAACTGCCCAATAGGTTGTATCCACAGAGTCTGTGAATTGGGTCCTCCAGGCACCCAGGACTCTAAGAGCACTGTTGAGAAAGGTGAGACTCCCCTGGCTCTCCCTTTATTGAGCACTCTTCAAAGTCCTTGCTCTGGGCATTATCTGTTTTATTGGAGTTCATCAATCATTCCTAGTCATGAATTTGGTACATTTATCATTCTGGGTATGTGTGTTTTTTTCCAGAAGTGCTCCTCTCAGCTTTGTAGTCTTTCCTAATTCATGCAGAAGCCACAGGGCCAGGTAAGAGGCAATCCTCCTTCCATCCATTTTGCTGGAGTTCACCCTGCTGGTAAGGCCATACCAGCCACCACTCCCTAAGAATTCTCCAATCCCCATTCACTACACAGCTAGCACATCTCCAACCCTAGCATCCAACAGGTATCACAGTTTTTGAGTAGCTATTAAAGGCATCTATCCGTCCATTGTCCTCCAGCCACAGTGCAGTGGACAGATGGCATGCATTCTAGGGAAAAAAAAATAGAATCTTGCTACAGGTCCGACAAACAACAAACTCAGTCGTCTCATAAATGGGAAGCTCACACAGATCGCAGCATTCCCCCACCCAGAACATCCCTTCTGACATAAGCTCAGTCACATCCCAATATTCCCGTCCTCACTTTGGCACCTGGTCACTACCTTGCAGGATTCCTAAACACCCTCCAGTGTGCAAAAAAAGTAAAAAGCAGTGGCTCTCAAATCGGGATCCATGGGTTGGCATCAAGGGATCCATGAACATACTGAAATTGTATGCAATGTTTTTTTTTTGTCTTTCTGAAAAAATGACCCACAGCTTTCATCAGCTTTCATCAGGATCATTGACTCAAGTGATATTAAACTCCACTGCTGTAAAGTATATTCCAGTCAAGTAGGCGTCGCTCTCTGGCTCTCCATGGAAAATGGAAAATACACCATGCTGGAGAAGGGAAAGGAGAGTATAAGAGGTTTCGTGTTCTAACTCTTTCTTCCAGCACTGCAAACACTGACACTCTTTGGGGTTCTGTATAACGAAGGCAGCAAAGATCATGTAAATCCTGACTGCAGAGCTGGTTCTGTCTCCCCCTTTAGACCATGAGGCTGACATTGCCTACCTTTCACTCAACAAGAGAGTCACGCGTAATCTGCTTTGCTGTTTTGTCAGGGAAGCAGAAAGGGAGAGAGGAGTGAGTGTCTAGAATCACAGGACCTGAGGTTGGGGTCTGGCCATGCAAA